GACGACGTGATGCGGGACTGGGTGGGAGCGGAACTACTTCTTTGCTTGATTTACCTACACGGAAACAAAATCTGGTTAACCATGTGGTTCGGTGTATCCCCCTCCTCCCCTCGAGTGCCTTTGTTGTGGAAACCTTAGCTCAGCATCCGCTTGTTCGTAATCAATTGATGCTCATCCAGTAAGCTTTTTGCACTAAATTTGTTACTCTGAGATACAGACAAAAATTCAATATCGATCCCCCTCCCTTCCAAAGAAATCAAATCAAATCGTTATCGGAACAAATTTACAACGATCATTTATATTTGTTCAACTAAATTTCTCCAATTCTCCCACCTCGTATTTCAACTCGCTTTTACGTGTCTTTCACATTGATTTCGGAACCGCGCAATTTCTGGTAGTTCCCGGGAAAAGAACATGCAACCGGTCAACTTAAACTGTTTTCCTGTTTATAATATTCGAAAACCTACGGATCTGAAACTCAAATCGAACAGTAACTGAATACTCTAATCGACTCAAAATGTTAAAACCTGCTGCTTGCACTTTTATTTTTGCCCAGATTGGAACGCACTCGGACCCGCCTAGAACCCGCTGAGGTTCTGTAGTCAATCTGTGAGCTACTTATGAACTACCGTATGCGAATTAAAAATAAATTGTTTGGGATAACTCGAATTAAATAAGTGTTTAATTTCGGTTGCATTTTTACCTAAAAGTCATTTACAATGCGCACATGAACTCTTGGGCTCAGTCTTTTATTCTCCGTTTCATCAAATCTCATTTTAGATTAGGTGATAAACAACTTTGAGAATTATTCATTGAATAAAGTAATCAAAATGATTAATCACACCCACATTCAAATCGAACTGATCATTCGGAGTCCGTCAAATCGTACCCATGAATAGATCAAAACCGTGACCTCATGTCAACTTCGCTTAGCACGAAATGTGCATTGGTGGTTAATTTTCCAAGCGACATCAGCTTCACGTTCTGTGACCCACCACGTTTTACCGCTCTACCGCAGCCGAACGCAATCATCATCTTCATCCCATATCATTCTTCATTTCGGATAGATTGCATGTACCTCGTCCGCCGCCGCGCCCGGTAGAGTTTCACGTACCAGTCGGAATTGCTCGTACCTGTAGGCGTTCAGACCGGGCAGCATAACCAGCCTGTCGATTGATGTGTATGCTGTTGAGGCGTGCTACCGCCTGGTTGAATGCTCTATGTCATACCCAACTAGAGGAGAAAGCGGTGACTGGATTATTTTATAGGTTGATGATAGTAAAACAATGCAGGTAATTAGCATGTAATATTAGTGTTAGTATTATAAGTAGTATTAATATCAGTATTATTATTAGTAGTAGTAGTAGTAGTGGTAATAGAAACCGTCGACATGTTACACATGATCGGCCAGTTTCGGGGAACCCACAGAGACCAAAGCTTGTGGCTTGTGGTTTTTGTATAAATGTCACGACTTCGGTGTCGAGACATTTGATAGATTTTGTTGACTGTATGCACTGCCAGTGAACCCAACTCAGCAAGGGACAGTTTTTTGGCGCTCTTCATTGACCTTCAGATGTATTCCTGCATCTACTTCCTCTCTTAGTTGTGTAGTTCAACATAGTTGAGAGGCCGATTCAGGTTGAAGTTGTCCTCCAGTGAGAAATCTACGGGGGCTATTTCGTTACCTTTAAAGAAACGGGTCTCTGTGTTTGTTTATACTGCTGCACAGTTAGTGAGGGTAAAGTGAATATAACTGTGGGACCGCAAAATATCGCATTCGGAAACGAGTAGCATGTGACTGCGACACACGTGGCTGAGGCAAAACAATCGGCTCATCTAAACAAACCGTTCGGAACTAGCAAAATCATCAAACGGGTATGATCGAAAGGATTCATAAATTGCCTACGGAACACCAACAACAACAACACTCTATCAACTTAGAAACAACCTGGAAAATCTCTCTCCCTCTGAACTTGTCGCGGACCACCGCAAATAACACCATGGCCCAAAAACCATTTGACAGAAACAAAACATCGATAAGGTGAATGAGATCTTAGACTCTCTGCACAGCATTAGTGCTGTGCTCCGTAATCCCCTCATCGACTCTATTAAATCGGTTCTGTTCATCTGTGATGCAATAGGGCGGTTGATTGGTGAATACTCAAGAGTTTGTAGGCCACGCTTAGCCTTCTAACTCAGTAGTGGATGAGTGAAGTCACTCACCCATCTCAATACTACCGTTATGCCCATTCACCATAATGAATACTCTGCAAAGTTGAAAAAGTATGTAGTTCTATGTTACCATTCCAAGTAACGAGCGGAAAGAAAGACATCTGTTTATCGGGAATAGTTTGCCTCTACTCGAGATTTCCTCAAACACATTCAACAGTCCATAGAAATACGACTCGGAGCATCTCTCGCTACACAATTATCCGAAAATGGTACAAATATAACTAATATAAACTTCAGCTACTCATGAATCAAATATCATTTGGTCAACGAACGGGTTCTCTAGCTGAATTTGCATTGAAATACGTTTTGTGATTTGTGGATACCGTTATCAGTGCTCAAATATGTTTATGATCTGAAATCACCTTTAACCAAAGCATACTTACAGACCGAGTTCAACCAAAGCGGTTTCCTCTAGTTCAATTACAGCCAACAGTTAGGCCGGTGGCTAGAATGTGGATGCAGGCCAGCTCGCATAAGTCCTAGAAAGACTATCACCCACCAACGAGCAGTTTGAACTGAATTCGATGGGGAACGCACGAGACAGGTCGCAAAGGAATCAAAGCTGCTATGAATTGGGAAAGACAAAGACACTATGAACAGCAATGGGCACGAGGAGACAGAGAGAAAATAAAAGCACATCTCAGCTCACTTGAATTTATCACAAACGGGTACAACAATGTTGCATGGAATGTTCTGGGGGCATAACTGTTATCGGTTCATGTGTGTGCGTGTGTGGGGTTGCAATCTGCACAATGTGATCTCTCTGGTTGGTCGGTCGGGAACTAACCCAATCGGCTGTCCAACAAAAACGATTTCTTGTTCAGTCGACCATCGGCATGCGGTCCCGGGCGGAATCGACCATCAAATGCCCGTCTCCACGCATAGTACGGCCGATAGGCGGGCTCCGGATAGTCGTACTCGATCAACTCAGGTTCCATCGATGGGATGGCATGTTGTATCGGTTCCGCTAGAGAGGTCTTGACGAGAACAATCGAGAACAGACTCATGAGCAACAAGGTGGCATTCAGATACGAAGACATTTTCTCTCGGTTTGCACGTTTACTGGTCAGATGAAACAACTTTACTCTACCCATACTCCCTACTCCTATTATATAGTATCAAGCCTGATAGATTGAATGGATCCGATTGGATAAAGGGGAGGAATAATGCGATTGGTTGAAAAAAGATTCCTGTTTGGGAAGAAAATATTCAGAGTAGGTAACCGAAAGCGCAGGGAAGCGAGTACTAACAGATTTACGGGTAACACCGGATGATCCTGACATTTGTCGGACAGAAACGTGACGAATTGGCTGTTTTGCCCAACGGTAGGATCAATCAATTTCAACGAACTCATCATAATTCTTAACGGAGAAACAGAAAACGAATATTTTCCCGTTTCTTTATTTATATATTGCATATTTGGTTTCTAAATGGGTTAACTCATTGCTCAACATTATTAGGATACCAAGCAGCAATACGATAGGTATTGTTAGAGTCTTTCGGGGTTCTTTAGTTTGCTTTTATTGTATTTTCTAAAGAAGCAAAATATTATTACTATGATTATTTAGGATTGCTGTGTTAGAAATACAAAGTGACGAGTCTTGCGCGTCATCCTCACTTTTGCTGTTCAATTGGTCGCACATTGCTTGCAGTTTCACTCTGTCCAAGATCAAAGCTGTCCTAAATTACCATACAATAATTCTAAAATCACTTTATATGATGATCAGACACTCGTTTCATGTTCAAAATGTGTTCATGTGGGTAAATGTGCGCTCGTTTTCCTCCTTTATTATTCAAAATCATGGGATCGTTTTACCACCAGATTTACTATCGGATAACAGAAATGATAGGTAACACCAATATCCATTATATATCTTCTTCCATTTATCCAATTAGATTGCGCAGTTAAATTTCAGGAAGCGGAGCAATAGGGAATCAGGTTCTACCGAATAGTATACGCATTATTTGTTTCAAACACTCGTCGACCATTTTCATAACAAATTACTTGTTTCAACTGCATACATTCTGATCTGTGATCAGTCAGGGATTTGGAGCAGAAGTACGGTACACTACCTATCTTCGGGAAAATTGTGCTTATGCGGAACATCCTTGCTTCGTTTCAGGTGAAAACGTTTGGGCTTAAACAATCAATTCCCCAGATAAACTTAAAGACAGAGCACAACAAAACTAGGTTCCACGATTTAAACCAAACCGATTTCGCTGCATCGCAACTGGTACATAAAGGTCGAAAACTACAGTTCATATCGTTGATGAGTATTTAAAATTGCCCATGAATAGGACAGGGTCGAAAAATCACACTTTTACCAATGCCAAGGCAGTGACAGTGTAACTGAGAGTTCTTGTTGTACATACATGCCAGGTTGCAACCTACTCTGCAAACCTAAGTAGTTGCGGGTTGGTGTTAGCATAAGTGATCCTAAATCGGCTTGTCGTGTCCGGGCGGTGATACGTCATCAAAAGATGTCGAGCGATAGACGACGTAGCCTCTTTGTGTGTTCGGTGTCCCTGGTAAAGGGTGGAGGTTGGTACTTGTGTAATGTTATTGATTGTGTTAGTGCTAGGTGATGTGTATTTGTGGGCTTGAGGGGTCAAATTGGAGAATGACTTTTGATTATATGATTGGGTCAAATAAAAATGATGTATTCTTACTTCCTTTTTATTTATTGAATATAAAAATGTACAGTGCATTTTCAAAAAGGGGTCCGCGACAATAAAACGGCTGTGTCTGGGAAAATACATAATTGGAGAAGATGGTCACTGGTGAAGTGGTTTGAGCCCAGAACTTCCGGGTCGCAATTTGTTGGCCTAACCAATTGACCACCACCGCCAATAAGGAATGTGCTCCTGGATTTGTATGCTCAACTGCCTATCATTTCTGTCAATGTAAGATACATCGCATTCACATTCAAACTGGTAAGTGGCATGTGAGTTGGCGGATAGTGGCCGAGATTACTTTATAGGTGGGGTGGGGATGCCTGTGGTTGTGTACCGAACGACTGACTTGGTAGCACTACAAGTGCATTTTATCATACTTTTCAATCGGTCTTGGGAAATCAGACTAATATCGTCGCCTTTGAGGGGAAAGCAACTGTCGACCTTCTTGAGGACGCCGTACACTGCTGGTTTTCGTTCCGGTGTCCGACCAAACTTCTAAATAAAACTGCCAGGGTAGCGATTCTTGTTAGAAAATTGATCGGAGTAGGTCTAACTTCGCTGGCAAGTTATCCTCATTACAAATACGGTGTGCTAAATGGAATAGTGTTTTTACTCCATCGCGCTTGTAGTTGAGTGATACAAAACTACGATGGTGTAGATACTGACCCGTCCATGTACTCTTGCGGTATACGTTCCTGCGAATCGTTCCATCTTGCCTCCTTGCCATTTGAATGTCTAAATATGTAAGGCGATCGTTTTGTTTTTCTTTCAATGAGAAATGTTTATTCTTGTACAAACTGTTCGTGACTCGAAGGGAAGAAGTGATCTGTTATCGGTCTTAGATAAGATAAGATAATTGTATCATCAACGTATCTTCTAAATAAAGTAAACTGATCTAAGAAATTTGGCACTTTGGTTTTCACCTTCCTGACTAATAGGTCCCCGAGGATAGGTCCCGAGGAGCTTCCCATCGCCACACCATCTATTAGTCAATATACTTTACCTTGGAGACTGAAACTGATGTCAGATGTTCATAAGAGCAGGAGACGTTCCAGATCCGAGAGCGATAGGCCAAATTTGAGGTTATACTGCTCGATCTACCTTAAAGTGTATTCGATTGCTTCACGCAGTGGCACGCTAGTGAATAATGATTCAGTCGCCATAGAAGCCAAGCATTTATCTTGGGTATTCAAGTCGTATTTAAGTTCAACTAGTTGGAAACTATCCTTAAAGTTATATTTAGACATACGATTGTTTATTGGCTTCAAAGAATGTGCCAACCATTTTACCAGCTTTTGTTGTGGAAAATCGATCATCAACAAGATAGGTCTGAGTGAAATTCCTGACTTATGTGAATTAGGGAGTTAATACAGCTGAGGTATTGTGCTGTCAGCCACTTCGAGAGACTTGGAATCCATATCACTGATGAGGAATCCTCATTCCAGTAGTGTTTTCAACAATTTTTTTGCCCGTTTTTCTATTGTTACTGGATTATCAGTTTTCACTTCGGCTCGAAGTGTCTTTTAGAATAGGAAACATTTTCTCAACGTAATTCTCTCAGTTTATGACCCCGACCCCAGAGCACTTGGCGGGCTGGAGGATCACCAAAAGATTATCGGACTTCAGTGATCGTAGGGTTTCTATATGTTTTTTGTTTAAAAGAGAAATTTGTGTCACTGAAGTTATGCGGTACTGATGTTGCAAAACAGTGGGGCTTGTTTTTAGCCATCCCTTGTTTTCTTCTACAGTGGCTTCTAAGCGAGCAAGTTGTTCGGAAAAATACCCAAACTGCGTCTGCGTAGCGATCGACTTCACTTTCCCTGGTGGGATACAAAATTTCAGCCCACGAGACAGCGCTTCGTTTTGCACTCTAGTTAGACTAATATAATCGAGAGGTTAAAAACATATTTAGAGGTATCGAAAGGTAAGGTTGACTCATTCCTGCGTAAAAGATGTTTGGCATGTGTGTGCACCAGGATGTCCCCCGTGAACGAACACACCAGACAACTGCAAGTGGGCCGAGTCTACGTGTGGGCTGGAACCGTCGACAGACAGGATGTTCTCCGTGGAGAAGGTGAGTTGAAAATCTGAAAGAAAGGAAAATGTAGACATCATGAACCAAGTGGTCCAGTGAGACATGAACACGATTCACACTTAAACGGAATGGCAAGTTGATAAGGTCGTTACATGTGTAATCCGATGTCTAATCCATTCAACGATATAAACTGTAGTCTTCTGCCGTATTATATCGGTTGAGATGCAGCAAATTCTGCCCTTACGTAAATCGTGCAACCTAACTGTGCTGTGTTTTCTCTTCAAGTTTGGGCTTAGCTAATACTGAGCCAAAGTGACACGAGCGAATTAGAAAAGAGAATCTAGTATGGCAAAAGTACACAATTTATGTCCTCAGGCGGTTCCTCTGTATCACAAATGGTAATTGTTGCAGACAAATATATTGTTTCTATGGGATTTAGGAATGAATTACAAAATAAAAAAACGTGAATGAAAGAGGCCTAAGCCTTTTTCATAGTCAAGGCAAAGCCAGGGTGTTGACCAAGTTCTTCTGTTGACACAGGATTGGTTTTCATCGGTTGATTGCAATCTCCTCGCCGATTTCGGGTGTTCTGGTGCTATCAACGAGGCGTTCGGTCATCAACAAATGCTTGGTGATCGATGAGTTTGGTATTTTGTAAGCACAGGATTTGCCAGTGACTGAATATTTGGAGTTGACATGGGAACCTTGCTCGAATCCCATAATCGTATGACTTACCGATCTCAGATGCGCCATATTCGTTCGAAAATTCACCCGAAAACGACAAGGCACCAAGCTAGAAAACTGTAATGGACTATCTTTAAAATGCGCCGTCTGTTTTTCGATTAGGAAAATCTATTTCGACTTATTTACATGTGATCCCAGGATAATCCTCTAGCCAGACCCCGAATCAGTCCTATATCCATTAGCAATTAGATGTTGTCGGAATGCGCTACGGTGATTCTTAAGTTCCGCATAAATTAAAATTAGTTTGCAGTGTCCCATATAAGCGCGATATAGCGAAACATTTGTCTAAAACATTCCCTGACCGTCTTTTATAAATCCACTATTGGTGATCATCAAAATAGCTTATTCTTCCAGATAAGAAGCTGATGTATAGACTGCGTTTCGCATCTGCCTGCTAACATTAGTGAGAAGAAGGACAAATGTCCACGAGATTCCTCATCACCATCGAAAGAACCGCAAACCAGATTAGAATACCGGAATCAGTTAGAGGATGTCACATAGTCTGTACGTTAGTGTCCACGTGGTATGCAATTGGTCTCCGGGGCCGATCCAGGCGTGTGAAGCATCTTTTCAGAAAATAAATTTATCTTTCGCTTCGAAATAACGGTTATTTGGGATCATCTCCAGCCACATCTTTTG